GGAGAAAAAATGCTTTGTCACAAACTAGCTGTGACTGAAAGTTACTAACTTCCAAAATCTCCACTTTTTCACCTATAACATGACAGTAGTGGTGAAAATATCCAGTCTAGTACCTGCAGATACTGATATAGTAGAACTTTCCTTCCCTCTAAGGCAGGGCAGTTCCTCAAACTGAGTGCAGGAAATAAAGGGCTGCTTCTTCCAGGGCTCCAGTCCAATTGGATATGTAGACCCAGAGGAATGGATTACATGAAGGCACAGTGATACAGGTACCTCAAATTTATAACAGACTTTGGCCGTCATGTAAGTTCCATGGACAGGTACTGGTACTCCTCCAAGAGCTTTCCAGGAGGATGAATGAGGTATCAAAAGCAACCACTTCTATCTTCTACAATAACATTGCTCTAATCCAAGCCCATACTTCTCTTATCTAGAATACTTTGCATTGAGCTCTGTTTTCATTTTTGCCTTTCTAGAATCCATTTTTTTATGCAACTCAGAATGATCTAAAAGATTAATTGGATCACTAACTCTCCTGCTTACAATCTTCCAATTGTTTCTAAATGCCCACAGGGAAAATTCAGTACCCTTTCCAAAGCCTGCAATGCCCCTCTTGAGCTCCCTTTTACCTCCTTTTCCATCACACTCCTCTTGGTCCACCTGGATGCAGTCCTGTCCCTAGATCCAGCCCACTGGCTTTCCTTATCTTCTCCTAAAGGGCACAGAGCTTGTTTTTACCTCAGGCCTTTGCACTAGTTGTTGTCCGTATCTGGCATACTTTCGTGGGCTCTTCATGTGGTTGAACTTGTCAGGTCTCACTGCCCTCCCCCATTACTCTCTGTCCTCATTCCATCAGGTTCATTCTCAGAACTTAATTACATTCCTTTTCAGAAATTATCTTATTTACTTATTTGATCATACACTATGGCTTCTTTCCCTGAAGCAGGGCCAGGGCCCTCCTCTGTCTAGTTTATTGCAAAGTAGCCAGGACCTTGGATTGTGCCTAGAAGGTATGCAATAAATACTTGTTGACTCATCACACATACTACTCATTTCAGCTTGATCTCAGCTGACGAAAACCACGTTTATAGAGGATGGTCTGAAGAAGTTGTACTTTGTCTTTACGGTCTAGATATTCTTAACCAAAAAACCTTGAATTATGCCAGATCAGCAGAGTTACCCACTACCTACCTAAGCCACACTGTCCATTGGTTTTATTTCTAGACAGGGTCTAGCTCTGTTGACAGGCTGGAGTGCAGTGGTGTAATCATGGCTCATTACAACCTCAAACTCCTGGGCTCACGTGATACTCCCTCTTCAGCTTCCTGAGGAGCTGGGGCTACCTACAGGTATGTGCCACTCCACCTGGCTAATTAAAAAGATTTTTTAGTAGAGACGAGTAGCTGAGACTACAGGTGCACACCACCACACACACCTGGCTAATTTAAAAAATTTTTTAGTAGAGGTGAGCAACATAGTAGCTATGTTGCTTAGGCTGGTCACAAACTCCTGTGCTCAAGTGGTCTTCCAGCCTTAGCCTCCCAAAGTGCTAAGATTGATTACAGGTGTAAGCTACCACGCCCAGCCTCTATTGGCTTTAGAATGTCTTTCTAAATTGTGATTTAGTTTTCTTTTACCTAGCAAGGGATGTGCTACAAAACAGCTCTATGATCTTCAGTGCTGAAAAGAGGTTAAGGATATGACACTGGCTTTCATCATAAGGTCCTCAATGATAAACTTTTCCTCTAGTTAAAATCAGAAAAAAAACCCTGCTTTTCCTGGGCATCTAAGGATGATGCCTTCTTTCATGAACACTAGATCAGAGTAGAACAGGTCCTGCCTCTTGGCATGAACTACTGCAGAATTAGGTCACTTTCTGGTGAATTAATGTATTAGACTTTATATTCTTGCATTTTGAGGATCACCCCACTTCTGAATTCGCTTTATTTTTCCTAATCTCAATGTTCTTTATTTCTTGTATACTAATGCGATTAATTTTTACTTTTTCTCATTACGGTGGACTGCCTTAAATGTTTTCTAGCATAAGGCATATAAATAATGTATTGAGGGCAATAGCAGCACTAACTATGCATAAAATAATATGGCTAATAGGCAGAGGGGTCAACTACTTCTAGGAAAGAGGGGATTTTTGAGGTGGGTCTTGAGGAATAAGTGAGCTGTCACCTGAAAAGGCAAGAAAAGGGAACCTGTGCAGATTAAGAGAGAAAGCACAGTCCACATCAAAGGAAAGTGGAAGACAGATTAGTAACAACTCTGACATTTAATAATATTTACTGAACGTTAATTTTTATGTGTTGGACTCAATGCAAAGCCCTTTACAACTTTTGTGTGTTTAATCCTCAAAACAATCCTCTGACCTGGATTTTATTATTATCTCCATTCAGAGATGGAAACTGAGGCAGTTTGTGAGTGGCAGAATTGAGACTCCTGTGGCCTTTACGGATGTGGGGGTGGGGGGCACTTGGCTGCACTCAGTACTTCAGAACTCATCTTCTATCCCTATCTCCCATGTGACAAAGCCCATCACTCCTTCGGACATCTCTCTCTCAATAAGTAGAAAAGTAGCACTAACAGGCACACAGTGAAGTCGAAAACCTGGGATCATCCTAAACTCCTCCTCTCTCCCCATCCATTCAATACCTGAAGTCCTGACACTCTACTGCACACGTTTCCCTCCCACCTGTCCACTTCTCAGCATTCCTTCTAGGTCAGTGTCCTTATTGTCACTCACCAGGGCCACTACAGAACTAGCAGACATAGGATGCTTAACAGGAAAGGGCAGGAACTATGCAGGTGGACTCCCTGCCTTTGACCCTCTATAACTTACTACCTGTGCGACCTTGGGCAAGCTAACCTATGTCTCAGTTTCAACTGTAAAATGGGGATAACAATTAGAACACTACCTGACAGCACTATGTAAATGTTAGTAAGTGGGGAGGAAACTTAGCTCCTTATTTTCTCTTCCTCTCATCATTCTACACATAGCAGAGACAGGGTGTATGCATGCTTTTGTTTGTTTTGAGACAGGGTCTCACTTTATCACCCAGACTGGAGTGCATTGGCACGACCTTGGCTCACTGCAGCGTAGACCTCCCAGGCTCAAGTGATCCTCTTTCTTCAGCCTCCCAAGTCCTGGGACTACAGGTGTGTGCCACTGCGCCAGACCAATTTTTTTTGTATTTGTAGACATGGGGTCTCACTATGTTGCCCAAGCTGGTCCTGAACTCCTGAGCTCATGAGATCCGCCTGCCTTGGCCTCCCAAAGTGCTGGGATTACAAACTTGAGCCACTGTGCCCAGCCATGTGTGTGTGTTTTAATGCTAATCTGATTAACACCACCCACACCAATGTTAAAAACTTTTAATGGCTTCCCATTGCCCTTAGAAATCTCTGACTCATAACTTTCTAAATTCTAGCAATACCTGTCAGCTTTGAGTTCTTCCAATATCTTGGGGCCTTTGTTCAAGTGGCTCCCAACCCAGAACACCAGTCCAACATCTACTTATTCTTCAAAAATGAGACTAACTTTTTCTGGGGAGGCTTTCTCACCTCCATTGATTGGATAAACAATCTTTGTTACATGTTCCTACAGTTCCCAACCTTGCACTTCCTTGTGACAATATTTGTCACTCTTTAATTAGGCAATGTTTCTTTCCCACCAGACTGAAATGTGAGAGAGGGAAAAGCTCTTGCTCGTTGGTTCTGGGTTGTAATCCCAAAGCCTAGTCCTAGAAGGATAAAATCTACTAAATAAATGAAACTGGAATGAAGCAAAGCTGAAAGTTCACATGAAGTTCCTGGGTCTTTAGTAGCCTCCCACCTCCACCACTCTTTATCAGTCTGCATATTTGGGCCTATCACTGTTCTTCCCAGGGCCAGGCCCTTTAATGTGGACACCCAAGTTGTCTTCAACTTTTCAGAAGTGGACTCTCCACAGGCATTTACAGTTACTCGTTACCTTCTCCTCAAAAACACCCAAGAGCCTTAGATCTTCCCTTTCCAGATATCAAAGGACCTCCCTCCTCCCTAACCAGATACCTTGTAAGTTCTCCCTCCAGTTGCCAAACATGTCCTTTTCCCCTTCCCCAAAGTGTCACTTTATTTCTGCTTTCAGTCCATAGACCATCTCCCTTAGACTGTCCACAAACCCAGCCTTTGCTCCTCTAAATCCATTCCATCTGACAAATCACCCTCCCCAACACACACCCACCCACCCACCCACCCTTCTACCGTTTATCGCCTCTCATCCTTATACAGGCTCCTCTTTACTTCCCGTAAATCTCCCTCGCACACTTCCTGATTACCCTCGGATCTATTCTTTTTATAAATAATTCCTCGCACCTTCTCCTCACCCACAATCCACTCGCAGTTCAAGGCCTCATCGCAATTTCCTCCATTGTCTGTGAGCCCTTCCCAATATGCCCCAGGACCCCTCCAGGTGTCACGCTCTGTATCCTGACAACCCTTGTACTAGAGTCCTGAAACTCCCGCCCCATCTTTGGAGCTGCCACTCCCTCCCAGCCCTCCACAAACCTTCCGAGTCCCTAGCCCCAAGCCCGGCACCACCGCCCACCCTTCGCAGCTCCTAGGCCCTCACCGCATCCCTAGACAAACCCGCGTTCCCTCCGGTCCCACCCGCCCTTGCATCGCTTCTAGCGATCTCGGCCACCCACGTGTGTTGCCAGCCTTCCGACCACGCTGCCAGCACACCCTACAGCGGGGCGCCGACTCCAGGAGAGCGGACCGGGGATGTCAAGGGGCTCCGAGGGGCGCTCGGGCTCCAACGAGAGGAAGAAGGATTCGGGGGAAGCGGCCGGGGAGGCCCGGGGCTCCGGGGAGAGGTCGGGAAGGCCGAAGCGCTCGGGCGAAGCAGCCTGGGAGACCGAGGGGCTCCCGGAAGCGGCCTGGGAGGCCAGGGGTCTCGGGGGAGGCCGAGCGGGCCGTGCAGCGGACGCGGGTGGCGGCAAGCGGGGCCTCACCGTCAGTCACGGCTCCCATGGCGTGCACGGCGGCGGCGGCGGCGCAAGCTGAGGCGGCGGTTGGCGGCGGCGGAGGTCAAACTCCCACAATGCAGCCGGGTAAACAGCCATGGAGGAGGAGGCGGCGGCGCCCGCGGCCGCCAGCTCCGACGCCTGAGCCGCGCCGCGCCGCCGCCGCCGCCGCCGCGGGACCCGCGCTCCCGGTACTTCCCGGGGGCGGCCGCGGCCAGCGCGAGTCGGGGCGAAGCTAGGCGGCCGGCGGCGGCCCCGGCTGCAGTCCGGGCCCCCGCCGCCCCCCTTGCCGCCCACGCCCGGCCCACGCCCAGAGGCCGCCCCACAGGCCGCCGCCAGCCGCCAGGTGAGCTCGCCTAGACGCCGCCAGGGCTGCAGGGGCTGCGGGCCGCCCGGAGTCGGGGCCCCAGCTCCTTCCTCGGGAAGGTGACTGCGGCCCCGCCGTCCCATCCAGGCTGACGCCGCTAGGGGTGGGCTCGCTCCGCTGGGGGGTGGGGAGGGTGACGGGGACGCCCGAATCCGGCTGAGCCCGGGAGACACGGGACTAGGGGGCCCGCGGGGGCGCGTCGCTGGGGGTCCCCGCGAAGTTGGCGCCCACGCGCGCCGGGGCGGGTCTCGAACGCCGGCACTTGCCCTGGGCGCGGCCAGCAATCAAAAAAGGCCCCGGGTTCCAGGTCGCGCGGTTCCGGCCCCTGCGGCCGCCCCCTTCCTTCCTGGGCTCGGCGGGTGCGGGAAAAAGGGTGAAAGAGAAACTTGGCGACCTCCGGGAGGAGTTCGCGGAGCGACCGGGAGCGTGTGCCCATCGTCCTCACCCGGCACCCAATTCCCCCACAGAGTCGGGATCTCGTCGATGATCATGATGGGGTGCTTTTATTTATTTTTCTTTTTGATTTTCAAAAAATGTCTATGCAACTGTCCCTATCTTAAGGGGAAGTTGAAAGTGGGGGCGGGGGTACTCAATGAGAAACGTTGCCGTGTGTGTAGTTGTCTGGACCACACTGCAAATTATATTGGCATCTCTTTCCAAAAGTCACTTTAACTTCGATAGCTCTCTTGTAAATGGCAACGTTTAGGTAGTGAGAGGTGGATGAGGAAACAGGCACCAATACAGCTGATTTGACCTCCAATGGGATAGATATGGTGAGCACCAGGATCAAGTCTTGAACCCAGGTTTGTTATTTAATTAAGCCATGTCATTGTTTTCCAATTTTCCCGTCCCCCAAGTAGATCTTGGATCTTCATATCCGGGTTGAAGAAGTTGTGTAGGATAAAACTGGTTGTTTCACTTTCCTTACTAAATTTAGGTACATTCTCTCTGTTTTCCCCAGTTCTTTCAAAGAGGAAGAGTTGCAGATGCAAATGTATTAAAGTGACGTGTGTTTAACCGCTAGTAGAAATGGTAGATGCGAGGCCAGTAACTTCAATAATCCCATTACAGTGTTCTCAAGAATTAGTACTCAAGAATTTGACTTTTGAAACAAAGGCAGAAATTACTTTACATGAAGATTCTGATGTGTAGCTTGCCTTCCCCTAGAGTGTGAAGTTTCCCTGACTGTGAAAAAAATAATGACCTAAAGGCTGTCTGTAGGTGGACATCAAACCCTGTTCAATTCCTTGATTTTAGGAGACAGGGCACTCTAAGAGAAAAATTGTTTTAAATCTTAAGTACTAAAATTGTAAGCTGCAATTGTGAATTGATTGGGGTTCACAATACCATGTGGCATTTTGGTGGGGATAGTTATTATTTAGAAAGTAATTGTCATACGATTAAATGTTCTTTTTAAGTGTTTCTTAATCTTATAATACTGATTTTGAAACAGTATCTAGAGATTTAAAATAATTTTTAATATTTTCATGGGAAAGTATCACTGCCCCTTGTAACTTGAATTTTCAGATTCTGTCAGTTATTCATAGACGGAGTGCTGTTCAAACAATTTTGTTGCATGATGGTAGAAATTTTCTAGAGTAATAAGACCAAGAGGAATTTGAAAGACTTTAAAGTTTCAGCTGTACCTGAAAATAAATATTTCTGTAAGTTATTTTATTTTATATTTTTGAGATAGGATCTTCCTCTGTTGCCTAGGCTGGAGTGCAGTGGCACGATCATCGGGGCGCACTGTAGCCTGGAACTCCTGAGCTCAAGTGATCCTCCCACCTCAGCCTACCAACTAGTTGGGACTACAGGCATGTGCCACGATGCCTGGTTAAGTTTTTTATTTTTATGTTTGTAGAGACATGATCTCACTATGTTGCCCAGCTGGTCTTGAACCCCTGGGCTCAAGCCATCCTCCACTCTCAGCCTCCCAAAGTGCTGGGATTACAGGCTGGAGCCACTGTGTCCGGCCTGAAAGTTCTTGACTCAAATGGTGGAAAACACCTAATTTGAGCTTTTATGAACTTTAAAATCAGCTTTGTCAGCTACATGATTTAATTTGCAATTGCATTGACACAGATCCATTCGTTGAACATTTAAGAATTGTCTTTTCATCATACTGTATAATTCATATATATAAGAGAACATCTTGTAACAAACTTTAGGAGTGGTCTTCTTTTTAAATATTAACCTGCTTATGAATGTTCAAGTAGAATAGACTCAAGCCCTATGCCATACTAGTGTTTCTTCTTTTCTGGGAAGATCTTTATGGGCAGAAACACAGAAATGGAAATAGCAGATTTTAAGAAAATAGATTTGGACTTTGAACTTGTATGACCTTATGTTTATTGATTTACTTGAGCCATAAGATTTGTGTTTTTTTTTTGTTTTGTTTTTTTTTTTTTTAGAGTATGAAAGACTAGTTAAGAGAATTTGTTTGATATTTGCCTTCTGAAAATATAAAAAATAATGAGAGAGCTAGCTATATGGTCTTTATTCTGGTCCTGTGAAATAATGTAAGGATTTTTGTAATATGCTTTTAGAGCAAGGGTTATCCTGGGGGCCTGCGACCCTCCAAGAGTTGGTTTCAAGGGACTCCTGAACCCCCTGTAGTTGTGACCAAAACTTTTTGGTGTATGTGTATTTTTCTGGAGGAGAGTCTGTAGTTGATTTAGAAAAGAGATCCAGGACTTAAAAAAATTAGAGACACATCTTTTTATTGAATAAAATGGGAGTTAGAATGATCTTTTTTCTTTTCTTTTTTTTTTTTTGAAACAAGGTGTCCCTTTGTTGCCCAGGCTGTACTGCAGTGGCATGAACATGGCTCACTGCATCTTTGACCTCCCGGGCTCAAGTGATCTTCCTGCCACAGCCTCCCAAAGTGCTGAGATTACAGGCATGAGCCACCACAGAATGACCATTTTAAAGAGAAAAAACATTTTTGAAAAGTAGATCTATGTGCTCATTACCTGCCTTTTAAGATTATCTTCAGGCTGGGTGTGGTGGCTTATGCCTGTAATCTCAGCAGCTTGGGAGGCCGAGGTCGGTGGATCACTTGAGGTCAGGAGTTCTAGACCAGCCTGTCCAGCATGGTGAAACTCCATCTCTACCAAAAATTAAAAAAAAAAAAAAATTATCTGGGCGTGTTGGCGTGTGCCTGTAATCCGAGCTACTTGGGAGGCTGAGGCAGGAGAATCGCATGAACCCAGGAGGCTGAGGTGGTAGTGAGCCTGGGGAACAGAGTAAGACACTGCCAGAGAGAGAGAGAGAGAGAGAGAGAGAGAGAGAGGGAGGGAGAATCTTCAGACTAGTGAGAGAAAAAGATGTTTTCAAACTAGAGAAAGAAAGAGAGATGTCTTCAGACTAGTAGTGTGTTCTTTGAGGTGTAAAAGTACTTCGATTTTATTCCCACAGTGAAGCACTGCCTATCAGTTGATAAGCCAAGCTGGCCTGACATGCTAGTCATGCATGCCCTGTGGCTGTGTTTTTTAAAAATTATATCTGAAGGCCGGGCGCGGTGGCTCACGCCTGTAATCCCAGCACTTTGGGAGGCCGAGGCAGGTGGATCACAAGGTCAAGAGATCGAGACCATCCTGGTCAACATGGTGAAACCCCGTCTGTACTAAAAATACAAAAAATCAGCTGGGCATGGTGGCACGTGCCTGTAATCCCAGCTTCTCAGGAGGCTGAGGCAGGAGAATTGCCTGAACCCAGGAGGCGAAGGCTGCGGTGAGCTGAGATCATGCCATTGCACTCCAGCCTGGGTAACGAGAGCGAAACTCCGTCTCAAAAAAAAAAAAAAAAATTATATCTGAAAATTCAGACCAGATAGCTAGATGGTGGATAAGCAAAGATTTGATCTTGACACCAGTCCTTGGAGTAAATGGGTCTTTCAGCTCCACTGTCTTCTCTCCAGAAAATTTGAAATTTGACTGAAAGGGAATCATTATAAGAAAATGTGTTTGTGCCTTGGCAAGACAGTAGAACATGATTGGAAAAACCCAGTTTGAGTCAAAATAGACCTGAAATTCAAATTTGGTTTCCTTTATTCACTCTAGCTACTTAACCTGCTTGACTCTTCAGTTACTCGTCTGGATATGCTTAACTAGTAGAGTTGTTGGGCTGTCTAGAAGTTTCCTATATAAAACTCTTAGCCTCTCCTTGACCCACAAGAAGGACTTATAAGCCAGATTTGGGCAACTATTAATAAACATCTGAGGAAACATGTATAGTCACGGTATATGATAATAAGTACATTATTTCCAAATTGATATGAGGAAAATATTAACACTTAAAACATTTTTTTTAAGAAAAAGATTTTCAAAAATTAGTTAGGATTGAGTGGTCCCCAAATGTAGATATTTAGAGGAAATTGGAAAACGATGGTGTATTTGGCAGAGTGGAGGACATGGATGCTCGGCAGGAAGAAACAATAGCCGCCCACCAGCGACAAGATTCTCTCTGTGGGCAAGATTACATTTAACATCTCTTCACTTACAATCTCAATTTAAGAATTAAAATACTGCACATGTGCTTTATAGTCTGTCACCCCTAAAAGTACTTCACCCTACTCCTTTCGTTTTGAGACCTTCGCAGTTACCACAGGGACTTCATGGGTGAAAGTTGTAACTTTGGTTGTCTCATTTTGCTGCCTTTAAAACACCTTCATAGTTGGATAAAGAGTCTGTCAGGACTGAATTGTATTTTTCTTTAAATGCTAAAGTAAGAGAGGGCATTATGAGTCAAAAGAAAGTGTGATATATA